CGGCGCGGCGCGCCGGGCGGGCAGCCAGCGCGGAACGCGCATTGGCGCCTACAAACCTAACAGGGATACTTCACGCATTGCGTAATGCGTGAAGTATCCCTGTTAGGTTTGTAGGCGCCAGTGCGCCGCCGCTCCGTTTTGTGTTAGGCTCTAATATTTAATCTCGTGGAGTCAGCGTTTTTCAACTCATGACTTTGAAATATTTGCACACTCTGTATGGATTATTCTCATTTTAGTTGATGAAAAAAAATATGTATTAAAGGAAAATATAATGTGCGTTTTGTAAATATTAAGATGATTCCGAACAAACTTAAGGATTTACAAAGCACACGAATTTCTACACAATTTCTTATAGCCTTTTATATCCGATGGCGGAAAAGCAACAGCCAGGCGATAAAGTGTGAAGCCCGGCAATAGGAACTATAGCCCGGCTGTATAATTTTTTATCGCTTCGTGTAGCCCGGCCGTATGATTTTTCTCCGCGTTCTACAGCCAGCTATATGATTTTCTGTAGCCTTCTTTAGCCGGCCATAAGAATTCCTATGGTATTTTGAAACGCAGCTCCTATCGCCAATTTTTACCAGGGGGCGCATTTTCAGACGGATCGACCGTCGAATTGTTATGCTCACTATTATTGCACTTTCTAGGAACATTTTCCTGCGGTTACTGTACCCTCACACGTAGAAATCCCCCCTATCACTATATTACCTTCAAAAATTAAAAAAAAGTTTTGTTTCTTTGAACTCTCTCGCCTCTTCATGTTTGACACAAGCACCCCTTTGACCCGGTTTTTTTGCACTGACCTACTTTTCGGCAAATACGGGGAGATCGCAGAGTGGGTGAACTCTCGGAACCTGATATAGAGGGACACTGTGAAGATTGCAGGGACAGCTGAACAGGAAACGAACTGCATAGTACATTCAACTACAAAATACCCGAGGGCGAGGAGTAAGAATGTTGCCAGTTTTACGATCTGCGATTAAAGGGCAGAGAAGTGACGCACGCTTAGGCTTGATATCAGCTTGGTCTCGCACAAAGCCAACAATAAATACTGAAATTATAGAAAGTTAAGTATCATTTTAGTGATACTCCTATGTTCCTGGCAGGCATTGCTTCATTTTAGTGGCTATTGTAATCCTTTGAATGGCTCACTTTCTTAATACCTAAAACTCAAAATTAGAAAAATTATTACACCCTTACTCGTGGATTTCTCTCATTTTCTTCTCCCCAAAAATTGTATAGAAGTTTTGTTTCCTTGAACTCTTTTCTACCCCAGACACACACTCTGTCTCTTTTTTTCGTTATTTACACTCTTGGAAATTTTAGAGGTTGCAATGGTCTGTGTATACAGACTAACGCACATGTTCGACACATAGACAATGCTGGACTTTTCAAAGCTTATTTTGCTGCCAAAATCAACACAGAATAACACAAAGTACCCAACAAAAACAAACCTCATTTTCCACGGTTAATCATTTGCTTTTGGTAAAAATGTAGCGCGTGCTGTCCTATCAAAAAGTTCGTTATGACGTTCGAATTCAAAAGTTACATGAGCTTAGAATTTGTGCTCTTTTTTTACTTTTGTCTTTCTGACAGTGCACACTCTCTCGATTTTTGCAAGGGGTAGTAACATATGACTTTGTCTACCTCTTTTCACCGGCGTCTATTAAACGAGTAGCATGAAAAATGGTCTCATGAGACCTAAAAGTAGCATCTTGAGGGCAGCAATCATTGATACTGCCCCCGGCCTTTAATACACTTTCTCTTAAAAAAATGTGTCACTGCCTCTGTCGATCGAACTGGATTGCTTCCTGGCCTTAATGCTTTGAAAAGTTGTAAGCACTTAATTTGACAACGGCGAAGAAAGAAGCATTTCCATGGTTTCTCGCTGTCTCTGTTTCCATTCCGCGTTACGTCTGTTGGTTCCACAGAGCTTATTCCCTTCCCGCCGCTGTCTTCACCCTCTCCTGCGGAACCTCGCAGTCCATCTGTAGCGCCACTGACCGCTGAAGTCCCCTCTCTCCCTCTCCCTAACTTTACCACCACTTGGAAATCGTCTCTAACCTGATTGACGATACATGATCGATCTGATTTACGATAGGATAGGACAGTGCCTTTTATGCATTTTACGTGGTGTAAGATTATTTTAAGCATTAATTTAAGCGCTCCAAGAGGGAGGCAGGGGGAGGGGTGTCCTGAAGGTAAACGGGGATCCAAGAGTCAGATTCCCGGCAAAATTATTAAAATGTCGAAATCATATATAAACAATGTTTTCCGAATTTGCTTACTAAAAATGAGTTGGAAAATTTTAACAAAATATGTCCCAAGTCATTTTGTTCTGTTTTAGATCAGCAGTAATTCTTGTCACCCTATTTTATTTAAAAGACTGCATTAGATCAATTTTAGAATAATTATCGCTTTATTGGTTCTAAAATAATATTCATTGTACTCGCTGCTTATCGAAGTCAATTGTTAAAAGCACATCGAGGACCAAAAATTGAATTGAAGTAGCTACTATACTTGTCCAACCTTTAAAAATTCGTGATTTTCGCAGGAGGGTTCTTTTCAAATCACGATTTTACGAGTAAGAATGATTTTTTTTTGTTTTTGTTTTTGTTTTGTTTTTTAACTATTTTTACTTGCAAGCGGTTTGGTCCATTATTTGTTAAAAGACGGCAGAAAGGTGCAGTATGATCCGAAAAATGTGCATCTTGAAAATGAAAGATTAGAGTTTTATTTAGCCTTACAAAATCTTTTATTTTTCATATTTTTTAAGTGCTAACTTAAAAACGGCTTTGCCTATCTAAAGTTTGGTTGGACATATTTGTGGGCGTTTTCCCCCCCTAAAATGTTTGTAGAACTTTCCCTTATTGTATGTTTTGACATCACTGACTCAATTTTCAGTTACGGGGTTTTTTTTTTGTGCGTGTGTGTCACACTGAGGGCTCAAGTCTTTTTTTATCATGAACAGTCACATTTTATGAGAGGGAGGAATATTAGATTTTTCTCCCCTAGCCTTTTGTTGCTTGCTTCTATGTATTGTTTAATATGCGTCGAGTTTTTAATTACTTTTTATACATATTTTTTTCCAGTTGGACGAATGTCAAACTCTAGAAGTTTTAAAAAGACTAAATCGAGTCGTTCTCATATTGAAGGTAAGACATTTTTGCCGATCTCTGTCACAAATTAATCGCTTTCGGTCATCCTGAATCAAAATTAAATGCGGCTCACATTTTGCAACGTTGCAAATTAAGATTCGAATATTTATAGTCCCACCGTTGATTTATTCCAGCACTTTTTCAATGCAAAACTTTACCATCCATCCTCTACATCAGAATAAAGACCAGCGCCTTCAACGTCAGGACGGGGTTTTGAATAGGCAACTTAACGTACTCATGATGTGGTGATTTTTGCCTGCATAAAAAAATGAAGGCGTTTCCTCGCTGTGATCTTGTTCCAACATAAGCGAAGACTGATCTCCCTGATTCATTCCTTTACCATTAACCCGCATGATGTTTGCGCACATTTTTTGCGCCATGAATTGATGTATTAGAAAGCAACTGGTCCTTAATTTTGAAATAACTCTGGGGTGTAATGAGAGGTAAAAGACAGTTTGGACGAAGTGCTAACGAAATTTCATATTTTTTCCTTTTCCTTCTTCTTCTTCCGCATTACTTTTATGTTAGTTGAAAAAGTCTACCGTTCAAAGTGGCAATCATTATAATGTCACACGGGTCTACAGGTCATACAGGTCTATACACAACCTTTTCTTGGCGGCCAAAAGACATTTTTTCTTAAAATTTTTGTGAATTTTTGTCACTCTCTAAAAATTATTCACAAAAAATTCTGAGGATAAATTTCGGCTTTCGGCCGGTTTATTTTGAAAAAAAGAGAACATAGTAGGAGATTTTTAAACGTCGCAATGGAGATACGCATTTTCCGATTTCGCCCTCGAGCGCTTAGTTGCGTGTAGAAAATTTTCTAAGTTAATTTCCTTTTTAGTTTTTATTTAATTTTCGATGCGTAATAACCAAACTCAGCTTTCAAGGCCATTTTTGACCAGTTGAACACAAAGTTTACTGACGATAATTGCGAATACAAACGGTCACCCTATACATGCACTTGATGTCGTCGAGTTGTTTGACGAAAGTAGGAAGAGGGAAGCCGATCAAGTATTAAGTTCATTGTAAGTAGACACCCGTTTCAAACGCTTTTTGCCGCCCACGCTGCCAATTGAAGGGAAATGATTTGGTTATTCGCATATAT